ATGGCAGCAGGACAAGGGGAAATGGCTTGGAGTTGAGGGAGGGCAGATGGAGGTTGGGTGTCAGGGGAAGTTGTGTGCTGTGAGAGTGGTGAGGTGCTGGAACAGCTGCCCAGAGAGGCTGTGATGCCCCGTCCATCCCTGGAGGTGTTGGAGGCCAGGTTGGATGGGGCCCTGGGCAGCCTGGGCTGCTGTGAAATGGGGAGGTTGGTGGCCCTGCACGTGGTGGGGGGTTGGAGATTCGTGATCCTTCCAATGCAGGCCATTCTGTGATTCTGTGATAGTTTTCTCTTTATACACCCTGCACTGCAGTATCTTCTGCCCCAGGGACAAACCTTTGCTTTTGTCTCTGCTGAGTTGCATGAGGTTGCATCTGATCTGTTCCTCTAAGCTGCTGAGATCAGGTTGAGTGGTGGTCTGCTCTCCCAGAATGCAGCAGCTGCTCTTGCAGTAAGACATCTGCAGGGTCAGGTTGGAACCCAGCCTTCCAGCGGGCACTGGGGTGTCCCAAGAGCTGCCCTGCATCTCCCCCACACCTGCTGGGAACTCCTGGTGAGCTGCGGGAACTGCTGGTTCCCTGGAAGGCAGCTCACAGCATGCATTCAGAGCTGGAGCCACTCCTACTTCTCCTTTGGGGAGGTGAAAGCACAGCCCAAGTGTGGTCAGAGATTTTGTGCAGTTAGGTTTCACATCCCCTTTCAGATGAAGTCGAGGTTGTTGAGATGAGGCCCAACACCTGCCATAGTAAGGTGCCGGATCAGGTGAACACTGGGTGTGGGCACCTCCGTCATGCGCAGCGTCTCTGTGTGCCTGGGAAATCTGGTCACTCCAGTGCTGGTGCAGGCTGCTGCTCCAAAGACCCAGGCTTGCCTTCACGTGGGGAATGTTTCCTTGTGAAAAAAGCACCTGCAGAAGTTGTGCATGCAATTGTTCACCAGTGTGGGGCACTGGGATGCACAGAGGCAGCAGAGGCTCAGGAACCCCTGTTCAGTTTCTGTGGAGATGCCCACTATGCGCCTTCACTTCATGGTCCCTGAAGTCCTGATCGATTTGTGGCATACTGATAGCCAGGCATTTATTATGGCACAGGCAGAGCAGAGGAGACCACGTAAAAGCTGGGCATGGCATGATAGAGGTGGGCAGTCCCATCTCCTTGTGACGTGTTTGGAGGGGAAGTCTGCCTCACAGCTGTTTCCTTGCGGCCAGTTGGGGTGACTTTCCCATGTGATTCATGATAAAGATACTTGAAGGTTAGAAGCAAAATTGGCAATCAGGCTGATGGAGCTTTTATTCCCCGAGTTTGATCTGATACTTGTGTTTCACTTTTAAGGGCTGTGTGCGGGGCAGGTGAATTCCTGCGTACCCAGAGCTAACATCAGTGCTGTCCAGTGACGTTAAGTTGGGTTGATTATTTGCAGGCTGTGCCGTGTGTCCCTGTCACGATCCTGGGCTGGGCTCTGGATGCCTTTACAAATGAAGCAAGGTGTGATAATGAGTGGCCAAGGAGGGGCAGGTGACAGGAGGCAGAGCTGTGCCTGGCTAGCTGGCAGCCTCCTGTTACACTATGTGGCTGGGACTCTCCCCTTGCTGTTCCTTTAGCCAGGGACTGTGCCAGGGCTGGGAAGCTCAGACCTTCCTGATAAAGGGAGAAAAGCCAGGAGGATATTCAGAAAAAGTAAAGCTGCCTCTGAGCCATCTCCTTGCCTTGCAGAAGACTCCTAAGCCAAGCCCTGATTGCCACGGTCAGGTTCCACCCATGTTGTCTAAAAAAGGTTTGGCAGGTATTTGCCACAACGTGAGAAGCTGTAGAATTGCTTAGTGACCTGATTTTACAGCTGTGTGCCACAGGCCGTGCTTTACACTTCAGAAACATGCTGAAGGATCTCGGAGCAGCCACTGCTGTGTGAGACCAGCTCACTTCACTCACACAGTCTGAGCCCATAGTGATGTGCTGGGTCTCATGGGACACAGCGGAGCCCTCGAAGGTCTCCAGAGCTGCCTTTCAGCAGATCTCTCCCCAGCGGTAAGCAGGAGGAGCTGGCTGTGGCTCTGTACAGCTGTGTCTGGAAACACCCCCCAGGATGCCTGGGGAAGGCTACCGTGGTAAGCCTTCTAGGGCTGCACTTTGAAGCTGCTGCTCCCTGTTACATCAGCTGGCACAACCAGAAAATGCTTCGCCACTGGCAGAGGCCCGTCCAACTGATGCTAAATCCCCTGCCATTTGTCCCCCTCCCCAGAGGAACCCAGTGCAGACCCTCCATGTCTCCTCATGGGGTTCTTCCTGCCCTGGCAGATGTTTGCCTGCTCCTCTCCCGTTTCCCCATGTCTCTCTTGAACTGCAGAGCCACAGACCAGATTTCAGTTGCTTTCGTGCTCTGGCCTCTGATGTGCTGTCACCTTTAGCATCTCTGGGTGATGATCACCAATGGCCATGCAAGGTCCTGGGGCTCACTGAAAACATCCTCTTGCCAGATGTGTTGGAGCAGGTGACATATTTCTCATGACGTGGCAATGAGGCATGCCTACACAACCTGCCCCTGCAGAGGATGCCCCCAGAACACTGCACAGGAGCACTGGGTGGAGGCCTGGTATTTGCCCTGCAAAGAAGGAAACTTTGCTGCAGACCTTGGTGGCTGTTAACATCATCCTTGGTGTGAGCAGAGTTTGGAGACGGGCACCTCCAGAGGTCCCTTTCCACCTGAGAGTTTTCTTGTGATTCAACAGGTTTTCTTGGCTTTTGTTCTCAATTCTCTAAGCAAGGATTTGCTGAGAAGAAATCACAGAGGTTGACCAAAGCCTGAGAGCTGTCATAACAACAGATCTGCTCCTGGGCCGTGCAGTCAGGGCCCTTGCTGTGCCAACAGGCTCCAAGTCTCCCCCAGCACCAGGGGCTCAGCTGCCCATGCTTGAGGCCAATCCCCATGCTGTGCAGCTGCTATATGAGGTCAGGCTGGTGCGACAGTGGCCAAGGTGTGAGAAAGTGTTCTGTCTCCTTCTCTTTGGCCTAAAGATCTCTGGATTTACAGAGGGCAGGATGCGATGTTCTCCTTGGTACCTGGGACATAAGAGTCTTTCCTGGAGGAGGGCTGTTGCTCCAGTGCTCTGCCCTGGCCAGGAGAGAGAAGCTGTGCTGGTGGCCGTGTTCTTTATCTGTCCTACAGCTACCAGCCTGCAAGGCCTTGCTCTCCATCAGACTGAGAGAGCAAGTGCTGATGGTATCCCAAGAATTGTCTGGGCAGCTGCCAGATCTCAAACTCTGTGGGGCACCTGGGCTCGGTCGCTGAGTCTGGGGTCACAGCTTCATCTCCATCGTCCATAGCCCAGCACAGGGCCTGGAGATGGTCCCCAAGAACCACTGGTGGTTTCCAAGGAACACTTCTCTGACTCCAGTGTGATGCGTGTGCCTAGGAAGGAGAGCACAGGAAGCGTGCAGTGAGGATATTCATCAGTTACAGGCTGACTTCAGGGTGCATGACAGCAAATGTATACAGAATGACTACAGACCATTTCTCAAAGACTTAGCCTTCTTGCTTTTCAGTTCCTTGCCCAAGCTGCCGGCAGCACTGGTCTCAGGGCAAATGATGCTGTTGCAAGTACGACTTGTCATGAAAATGATTATTTATAAGCATCACAGGGGGCCTAGACGTGAAAATTCTGGCTCCCATCCACTTCTCTACGCTTGATCTGAGTATTTCTGCCTCTCTTGCTTTTAATAAAATCCTTCCTTCGCCAGGGACCTTGAGGTGCACAGTGCAGACAGCCCTGTCTCCTCGCTCCCTCAGGGGACCGCTGCTCCCAGCACTTGTGCACGGCCAGAACTGGGGTGGCACAGGCAGCACAACCTCCTCTCTTCTCAGCTGAGATGGAAGCTTCTTGGCATCACCTCCTCTCAGGCCAGGCTCTGGTGGGGCTGGTGCAGAGCAGAGCAGCTGCAGTGCTGGTGCAGTGGCCATCTGTGCAGTTAAACATCAGCAGGAGTTACTTCTTTCCCTTGAAGGTGGATTGTTACAGCTCTGCCCGTTTTGTGTTCTTGTCCCAGCAGTGCTGAAGCTCCAACAGCAGGGGTTAGATATTAGATTTGTTACAGCATTGCAGTGCCGTTATGTCTGGTGTTTTTTCTGTTCCCAGGATGTTGTCTGGAACGGGATAATCACTTACTCATGTGCTACCAGCAGCCACATGGAAGCTGCTCACAGGAGAAGGCGCAGCCTTTGCTAACAAAGGAATTCCGTTCTGTTTTATTTTTCCAACGAGCATTCCCAAAACAAAGTAACTGAATGCCTCCTTTTGTCCTGCCTTTTGTGTTTGCTCTCACAGCAACCGGAGGCAAAGGGGCACAGAAGATGTGGGATGCTGGTCTTAGGATAAGGACCTTGTCCTGAATTTTTCCTGTAGGAACCCCATGAGGAGACATGAAGGGTCTGCACCTGGTTCCTCTGGGGAGGGGAGGAATGGGAAGGGATTTAACATCAGTTGGATTGGCCTCCGCCGGTGGCGAAGCATTTCCTGGTTGTGCCAGCTGATGTAACAGGGAGCAGCAGCCCCTAAGTGCAGCCCTAGAAGTCAGGGCAGCCTTCCCAGGAGAGTGCAGCAGGGAGAGAGGAGGTCTCCATCCAGAAAAGCCAGAAAGGGGAAGATTTTTCTTCTTTGGTCTCATTTGTGTAGTGCACTCACATGACCATAGATGGAATGCTTTGGGGAAGACGTAAGAAGAGGATTTCAGTTTAATCAGGTCCAGGCACAAACTTTGGACCGGCAGCTTAACCAGCAGAGCATCAGCAGCGTCTGAGTCCTCTCTGCTCACAAAGCCAAGAGCTATCCAGGCATTTGGTGAGATTTTCTTACTCAAGAACCACCTCTACTTTTCTCCTCTTCTCTTCTTCTCTTCTTCTCCAAACAGACCAGTAACCCTCATTAACAGCTGGTCTGATAAATACTTCTGTGCCAAAAGAGAACACGAATGGGTTTGTTTGCAGGGACTTCAGTCACCTGGGAATATGTCAGGAACGCCAACATGAGTGATGACTTACACCAGGCCTCACCACCCACTCCAGCAGCAACGTGAGAATGGAACAGAGCTGAGCCAGGATTCCCAGAAGGAAAAGCCCTGGGCAGAGGCAGGATGGTGAGGTCAGCTGTGTCAGAAACTCCACCGTTTTCAGGGGAAGGGTTTTAGGCAGAGGGCTGGAGGCACATGGCCTGGTGCCACGTCCTTGCTAGCGTTGCTCAAATTAGTTGTTATTTATGCACAGCTATGGTGGGAAGGAAGTTCTGATGAGTCAGGGCGCAGTGGCTGCTCCTGAACTCAGCTGGAGCACAGAGATGTGGCTGGGGAAGTGCTGTTGCTGTGCATGGTAGTTTATTGAGTCCAGAGGATGCTGCGGGGTCTGGGCTGTGGTATAGAGGGTATAGAGGTATAGAGGGCAGAGGTATAGAGGTATAGAGGTATACAGTTATACAGAGGTATATAGAGGTATAGAGGTATACAGAGGTATACAGTGGTATAGAGGTATAGAGGGGCAGAGGAAAGCTCCTGCCAGAGTGGAAACAATGATAAGGGAGAGCAAAAGGGAGGGAAGTATGGGAGGTGCTGCCATGGATATGGTAGGCTGACCACCCTCTGCTGCATGGTGATATCAGACCAACGTGGGACATACTAACGTGGGCCACCAGTGAAGGGCCAGCCCTGCTGGGACCAGAGTGCTCATCACTGACTCTGTCCTGGAAACAGGACATGAAAGGGCCTCTGCCATCTCCACTGTTTTCAGGCAGGAGTGATATGAAGGTGGGATGAGCTCTAGTTCATGCTGCTGCATCACTTTCCCTCTTCTTTCACCCATGGGAGTGAAACTTTACGGCCTTTCCTCTCCCTCTCTACCCTGACCTTTGCAGGTCATTTGACAAACAGGTGAGAAGCAACCAAGACCACATCAATCTGCCGTTAAGCACCCACTCCACAGATGCTGAGGCTGTAAAGCTGGGTGACCCTGTGAGCTGGGCTGATGTAGGCAGCACGAGCCGCTTCTCTTTCTTGGCCACGTCCTCCTAGAGGGAGCCATCTCTCGTCTGCCATCAGCTGTTGCCTGCCATTTGTCTCCCTGGGCAAGACTACCAGGCTAAAACAAGGTCCTCCGAGGTCCTCTGTCAGGTAGATTTGCGCATGTTGGATGTGCCCTGCCTCTCAGGGAAGCGACACAAGTGACGCACTGCCTGCGCACACACTACCTTTATTCAACGCTATCCTTCAGTAGGAGGCATGACTCAGCTGTGCAAATCACTGTCCCGAACACTGAGGATGGGGACTTTCCACACAGCAAGCCCTTTTTTGTTCTCTGTGAAACCTAGGCAATCACTGAGGGCACGCTGCCAGCAAACTGTAGAAACGCATATATCAGAATGGAGCTCAGAAGCCCCAGTGCATCCCCTGCTCAACACATCTGGCTCCCAGGTAAGACCTGGTTGCTCTGAGGCTCATCCAATATAGGTTTGTGGGACCAACAGGGAGCAGTGAGAATGGGGCTTCCTCACCACCTCGCACAGACAGCAGAACACAGTTGTTCTGTGGGAACAAGCAGTGTCTCCCACCAAGGGGCTCAGTTCAAAGCTGATATTTCCAGATGTGGCATAGCACAGTTTGCAGAAGTGAACATGTGGCAGCGTGATGTGGTTCCACAGCAACCTGCAGGCGTGAGTCAGCATGGCTGCGATGCCTGGGGGTGTGCAGACCCCCACCCAGCAGCTTTGCTCTGAGCATGGCACACGGGGAGGCAGCACTGAGTGTCTGAGAGCAGACAGCCGGTAACAGAGGGAATTAAATCAACCCAACATGGGGATCCCTCTTTGCAGAATGGAGGCTGCCTGGATAAATCCCACCTCTGGGCAGAGCTCCTCTTAGCATCCTCCACGCATTTCTGCACCATCTGCTGACATTTTTGCTACATAATGGCTGGGGCTGTGCAACGCACTATGCCTAGGTTCATAGGGCAGGGAGACCTCCTGGACACACCACAGCCATGTGAGCTCTGTCTACCTCTCTGCATTCAAGGCAGTCTGCAGTTCCACAGACAAGATACGTGTGCAACAGAATATATTTTCTTCTGAGACAGAGCAGATTCACACATTTTGATCCGCACCTAAAGGCTGTCAGAACTGCACCTAATCCCCCCTGTCCTTGCCCCACCTTGTCAGTCGCTGTAGGTGAGAAATGACACTACTGGCTGTGGGGAAATCCCCAAGTGCTTCTGTAAGTGGTGTGTAAATACAGTATGCTGGGAGCAAGCTGCGGTTGAGGCATGAAGCTCTTCTGAGGTCTGGTTCTTCCTCCAGATGTATGGCTGGAGCAGCCCCAGGGACCGCGCACGCACCCCGTGTTGTTCCTTGTGGCACTGCACCCTGCTCATTCCCTGTCCAGCAGTAATGTTCTCAGTTTGCAGAGAAGCGAGACTGATGCGGAGGTGGCCCAAGAGCTGTCCCAGCTTCGGTTCCTCTGCCATAGGATGTTCCTGTGCTGCAATTCACGAGTGCAGGGAGAGTGCAACATCTGCCCCTGGCTCACGCCGGCATCCTTCCAGATTTCAGGCCTGAAACTGCTCAGAAGAGGAATTTCCAAAACAAATGTTGCTATTTGAAGAATGCGGGGGCTGGGGGGTGGGGAAGAAATAATCACAACAGAGATAAGGACCTGACAGCTGAACAGGCTCTGGCTCAGGCTGGTCTGGGACAAGGATCGCCCGGAGCCAGAGCTGAGGGTCCAGTTGGGGAAGCGGCAGCACAGAGGGGCTGCTCTGCTGTCTACATTTGTCCCGGGCTGCTGAGGGTCCCTCTTCCCAGGACCAGTTCTGCTCGGCATCCCTCCAACCAGGTGGCACTGCTGTGATGTCGGTGTTCCCGTGGAATGCACCCTGACCTGGGGTCGGCTCCCCTCCTCCCAGCCTGAGGGAAGGAGTGGAGCAGCTCGGGGCAGGGAGTTCAGGAAGAACTGGTTTGCAAAAACCAGATGCCTGCACCCAGTTTGGCTGCTCCTTCCCTTGTTTTATGGCAGCTGGGTATGTGCAGAAGCAAGATCCCTCTGTCTGCAGTGGGTCCCGCTTTTGATGGCATCTGGGCTTGCCTTATCCCCATCAGCTGCAGCACAAAGGGCTCTTGGTGCTGCCCACAGATGCACTTCAGTCTCTGCTCTCTAGGGCTGAGCTCACATCTGGCGTTACTGGCTCCCGGCTGCACTTCTGTCATTTGTTTATTAAAGTTAATTTCATCAGGCTGCAGTGATTTATTCAGGTCTGGAGCCTCCTGTAACAGGGAGCTATTATTTGGTGTGCCACCAGCTCTCTGCCATCTGCAACCTCCACGCAGGTTCCACAACAGCTGCTTTCCAAAAGGTCAGCAAACCACTTTATCAGCACAGTTCCTTGTTTCTTGGTCTTACCAAGCCATCAAGTGATATTAAATCAAAAATATGCAGAAGGAAGCTGATTATGTAACAGGAACACCGTTCCCTTTATTTGATTAAGGCAGTAATCCCATCTTGTTTTGCTCTAAAAGGAGGGAAAACAAGTCTAACAATACCATGCCTCACCTCTGATTGGAGCAGCATTTCAGCCTCCTTGCTGACGTGGATGCTGGTCTGGTGCTTGGATTAGTGGACAGCTGCTCCCAGGATCATGCTTCCTTTACCTTGGTGCTGGAAACACACTGCCTGCTTCCCTTCTATGAGGAACTGAAAGAGAACCCCAGCGGACAGCAGGGTCCCTGCTGCCCTCTGGACTACCCCAAGAACAGGGGCTTCTTCACCAGAGGCTTTGGCAGGAGCTTGCCGGGTGTTTTGCAGCATTTTCGTGGAAAGGGACAGTGCTGGAAGGGATCTGAAGTTACAGAACGTCTAGGGTGGGAAGGGATCTTAAAGCCCGCCCACTTCCAACCCCTCCTGTGGGCTGGTTGTTCCCCCAGACCAGGCTGCTCAGGGCCCAACCAACCCGGCCTTGAACACCTCCAGGGATGGGGCACCCACGTTTCTCTGGGCAGTCTGTGCTGGTGCCTCGCCATCCTCAGAGAGAAGAATTTCTTCTTAACATCTAACCTAATTTTCCCCTCCCTCAGTCTAAAACTGTTCCCCTTTGTCCTACCACTATCAGACTATGTAAATATTCTCCCTCCTGTTCACGAGCTTCCTTTAAGCAGTGGGAGCCACGCCATTCCCCTCGGGGCTTTGTCCAGGTGAGGACAAACCTCTTGCCTCCCATTTCATCCAGCTTACCCCCTCAGCTTTGTGCTCTGACCAGACTCTGTAAAACAGCCCAGACCTGAGGAAGAATGCACAGTGTGTGTTTCCAGCACTTGGGTTGTGTGGATGCAAGGGGAAGGTCTATGTTTTATGCTTGAAATGGGTTAAACACAGCCATTTTGTTGGACTTGTTTGCCCTCCACTTCTTGCCTTTGCCACTGATGCAAAGGTGAGGCCTCACAGCAGCTTCCCCAATCCTGCCTCTCTCCTGAGCCCACCCAGACAGCGAGAGCACCGGGAAAAGCCCCTTTCATCACAGTAATACTGCCAGACATTATAACTGAAAACACTTTATTTGACATCAGCAGTAAAATAGGAACATTGGACTATACATCCATTGGCATTTAAATGATAAAAATGCAAAAGCAAAAACATTTGCGAGAGACCTGCGAACAGTCTGGTACATAAGTAACACCCAGGGGAAAAGCTGCATGCTGGGACCCTCCCTCAACCCTGCAAGCAAACAGCAACACCAAGGAAACCCAGCATTGGTGCTTCCTCTGCAGCTATTTCTTGCAGGTGTTCACTGCTATGCACAGCACTGCTTTGAGTGTTGCTGCAGGAAGGGATGAACCACCCAGAACAGGTGGAAACTGAGTTCTGTGTAAACATGAGTGCTTGTAGAAAAGGCCCACAGGGACAATTTCAGGGCCCGGCTGAACCAAAAGCATTTCACCAAAAGAAGGAGCACAGCTTGTGCAGGGACAAGAGTTGGATACCACAGGCTGGTCCCCAATGGTGAAACAAACAAGCAGCAGCCCCAGCTTTGACATAGCATTTGTGTCGGAAAAGAAACAAGGCGGCAGTTTCCTGCTCCACCACTGCCTGCATGCTGAAAACCATTTTCAGGTTTCCTGGTTTCCCAGTTCCCATTTGTCCCCTCTTTCAAGGCACATCTGTAGACAGCTTCAATTGCAACACCAGAAGCAAGCGCTCAGACCACCTGCACGACATTGTGTGATTCCGGCATACAGCAAAACAACTCATTGCACTAACTTCTCCTAATCTCTAAATAATCAGAGGAAAGACAAACAAGCGAAAACCAGCACAACTCTCCGATGCAGAAGGCGGGCACTTTGCAGTGTGCAGGCAGGTACTCCACACTCACAGCTTCCAGCCTTCTGGAGCACAAAGGCCCGAGGCTGAACCAAGGTGCTCTCTCAGAGTCCCTGGATTGCCAGTAGGTGCTCAGTGGGGTTTGGTGCCGAGCTGCCCTGTGGGTGCAGGGCCCAGCCTGCTCAGAAAATCAGAACAAAACCACCAGCCTTGCCTGCATTTCAGTTACTGGTGCAGTCTGCAGGGTTCTGCAAATGGGTATCTGGCCTGGCTTCTGCAACACATCCTATTCTTGTACCCCCTTGTATCTGCATGCACCAGAGCCTTGACTGGCCAAAAGTCAACACACTTTCAATGCACTCTGCAAGCCTGCTCTCATGCCACGCCAAGCGTGGCCGGTGCAGCAGGTGCTGCCAGCAACCATGTGTGAGTGCAGGGGGTGAGCACGTGTCCAAAGCGACTCTGGAAGGGCAGCTGGGTACCTTGCTGTGAGCGTGGTCTGCGCATCCTTGGAGCCACTGCTGGCTAGGAAGAGACATCGAGACAATAGAGCAAGGCACTGTCCCCTGGCCCTGCAGGATCCCACCCCTGTAGCGCAAGGATTCAGCAAAACCTTCAGGTCCTACATGGTCCTAAATCCCCAAAAAGGAAGAGGGGAAAAAAGTCAAAGGGAAAGAAAAAAAGAAACAAAAGGAAACAAAACAAAAAAAAAAAAAGGCAGTGCTGAAGATGATCCCCAATACATGTGTCCCTGATTTCAACAGCCTTCAGCACAGGCCAACCAAGTGCAAATTGCTGTGATCGGAGCTGGCGGGCAGAACTCACCAGAAGGAATTAGGATTTCTGCTTCGGCAGAGGGAGCTTTACGCCGCTTGAAGCAGCTCCGAGGCCTTGGTGCCCAAAGCTTCCCCAGGCCGTGGATGGGAGCAGAGACGCCCAGCAGAAGGCAGTGCCTGCAGCGCTGCTCCGTGCCTCCGCGTGGAACCCCGGCACAGCAAACCTCTCAGCAGGCTTCAGAGCAAACGCAGCGCGGGCCCTGCCGGCACCTCCGCAGCCCGTGGGCAAGCAGCAGAGCACGTTCTCGTACGCGGTGACACAGAGCCTACCAGCCTGAAGATAAAGGAGGCCTTGAAGCGTATGCCATTATGCTGCACCCTGCTTTAATCTGGCATTAAATATACCACTTGCGATATACAAATTAGTTTAAAAAGTTATCAAAAAGTTACAACGACAATAAAAGTAATAAG